TTACATGGCTACTGTGACCAGAAGGGCCAGGGTTAGCACCATCAGGAGATTCCCTGATTATCTCAACCTGTGTCCCAGTATCAGTAAAAGTCTTGACTGGCTGTGGCACTGGTGTTGAAACTACTGGATCAGTTTGTGTGTACTCAGAACGAGTGATCACAAACCTTGCTCCTACGCAACACTGAGTACTCGCATCTTGCGAAGAAACGCTTAAATTCCCTGGGCTGGTTGCCATTGAACTGGCTGACTCAGCTGGTTCTTCAATAATGATGCAAGCTCCTTCTGTTGGAGTGCTTTGTGGCACAGCTCGAAAAATCTTAACAACAAGAATTTGACATTTTAAAATGCATATCAAGGTACTCACTGACTGAGAATTTATTTAGTCAGAGCCATCAAATCAATACAACCAGTGCTTTGCAGCACAGCTTGAAAAATCGTAAGAACAAGAAAATGCCACCCAGCAATCAAATTAATACAACCAGTGTAAACACACTTCACACTTCACACTTCACCGTTAATCAATCGACTGATGAGGATAGTGCCATTTGAAGAAATAAAGGAGACAAAAGACTACTAGACAAGAATTTTAGTTCAGGAAATTTTATTACATTTGAGAAAAATACAAGTCTGAGTTCGATATTCGACACTCACCTCTTGTCGTAACTCTTCTGCTCGCTGCCGGCTCTCACGATTCTCGCTACTTATTCTAGGTTTCTTCAGTTCAGGCCCAAAAGAAAACACCAAAGGTATCACATCACGTTTAAGACATCTTTTGACCTTTAGCTCGGGCATTAATTGTGCTTTCAAGTCCATTTCAAAGCAATCATCGGTGAAATGTTCACTGCACACATAACAGTTTTGTAATGGAGGAAAATTAGCCCTTCTGATCCTCGCTGACCAGGCTTTTTGCAATCCTTTATCATTGGGGATGCGATGGTAACTTATGTTAGACGTCTTAGATGAATGGTTAATACAACCAGGCACGCAGCAGTGGACCATTATCACTATTCCACAGTGAGATTATATGGAAACAAAACTACATAAATATTTCAGGAGCTGAGCTACTAGAGTTTTGCGACTGAAAAGCCCGCGAACTTCGTGCAATCGTGTTTCACGATATGACGTCAGTCGATGTTCCGCTGACCGTTTCAACTCCCACATTCCAAAATCAAGATGGCGGGTCATTCACGAAACTTTGGATCGATTTTTTAATAAAAATATTTCACGTGGGTAAGATTCATGCCAACCAAAATACTCCAGGTAATATAATTATTGATATAAAATTCTCTTAAAATAGGCCTAAGTTCCCCTTTAAACTATACCTACATTGCATAAAAGCTAGTTATAAAGCAGTGATATTGCATACCACATGAAAACTTAAGTTTCTCAGCAAAGTTTTCAGCAGCACATCAGTTAACTTGGAGTTATGCCTGTCTCCCACATCCTTTTGGGTCCCAAGTAGATCCTCTTTATCTTTCTTCATTCCAGAGAATCCCAAGAGTGTTGCAATGTGTCTGTCATCTTGCATACTTGTAAGGATCATACTCAATTGTTTCCGCTATGGAAGGTTTTATAAAATCAGTGATACATATACAAGTTTGCCTACACAATATGACTGATAATACAATGTGTAGATCTCTAAAACAAAACCTATTCCTTTTAAGGTGGCTCGAAATAGTTTAATGGCACGTGCAGACTGGGTTCTAATACTTGTAGCTTGCATGTGAGTTATAAAAACCCATGAAGCAATGTAAACAATATGGCGTCTGTGGTCTATTTTCGCCTACCTCTTGAGTGCCACTTTAAAAGCTCATGGTCAAATTTTTTTTTTGTTTTTTTAATAATTTGCTTCCACAGGAATTCCTCTTCCTTGGTTACTTCCTCACTTCAGCATTATGTTTGCTTCACTTCCACTCACAGCAGCCAAGAAAAATCTCATAACAATGATCGACGTTTTCCTCGTAGAGTCCCGCAAGGAATTACGTGGCTAGCAGGGGTTGTTTAGTCATTTGTTTTGGGCAGCTTTCATACAGAATGTGTTGGAGAGGAAACGTCCAGTGAAAGTAAAAAAGAGGTAGACAGAAAAACACCTAAAACACAGCCCATGAAGATTGATAGTTGAACAAAACAAAAAATTACTCAAGCAGTTAATTTATTCAAAGGCGGCATGGTGAAAACAAAACTTCAGTTTGATGGCGACGAGGAAAGAGGGGTACAGAACTAGCAAAGAATGCAAATAGTTTCAGTGAGATAAGCTTAAGACTTATTTGTTTTGTTTGCTTTTCAATTTTCAATGCACGGGTAAGACCAGAGATATGAGGCTTGATCATTTACAGTATACAAATAAAATGACGATGTGAACACCACAGTTGTACTGATGATTTAAGCAACTGCAAATTACGCTGAAAAAATATTTCTGGACTTGAATGTCCATGAATAACAAACAACATTAGATGAGAACATTTCTTGAATTAGAAAACTTTACCCGCCTGATTTTGACACTTTTCTTCTAATCCAGAAAAAGATCAAACAGAAAAATATCTCCTATTCACAAAAAATACAAATACTTTGCACTGACAACTGGAAGGTAACATCGTGTCATTCCCTTACTTTGCCGACTGTACCCACACATGGAGTCAGTTGAGCCTGTGAAAAACTCTGCACATGCGTAAACACTGATCTTGTCGACTTGCAATTTTTCCTCATCTTCCAAATTCATCTGCTCAACAGAATTTTTTAAACTTAAATACTTTCAAGATCATTCCTGATAACATCTAATAAAGGAGTTTGAGAAGGGTTCACCAACCTGTTTTCTAAATAAGACAATAGATTCCAATTTTGAGTGCACAACTGAATGCATCATATGGTTGCCATGGTAACAGGTTTTGGAAAAAAAATTGATGAAATGATTCTATGATGTCTCTTTCATTTCTGTGGCAAATTTCATACTGGTACGATGAACCAAACTGTATTTAAAAGAGAATTTGTAAAACTTGTTTGGGAAAATGAAAACTATTTCGAGCCACCAAGATGAACTTGAACAACGTATCCCTTATAAAATATTGTAAAAATTTGATGCAGTTCACTGAAACCACAACAAAATGACTGCATATAGTTACCATGGCAGTCATTAATTTTTAATTATCTGTGTGGGTGCATAATACCATATACTAATTTAGCCAGGGCTTTAAAACTAATGAAAAAAGAATTACATGTGAGAAAGGTGAATTGATCAACATGACATGAGTGTGGGACAAAGAAAAAATCTGAGTCCCTGTCAGGAATTAAACCCATGACCTCCCGAACACCAGGCGGTCACTCTATCCACTGAGCTACCAGAACTCATGGAGAGCAAGGTCATTTAACTGAGTTCATATGTGACAGGTGTCCTGCATACTGCTAGGATCAGCACTGTCGAAGATGCCCTCGGGAAACTGAGTTTTTTGCATACGTTATTTCTCCAAAACGAAGCACAGATCAACAAAAACAATTATGGAATGATGCTTTTCATGTCAAAACAAGTCAGTCTGCCAGAAATTAACTTGATCTTGCAAAAAATGAAAATCGGCCCAAAAAGCAATATACATGTACACACTTTTGGTACGAAACCCTTCAATTAACCTGGTATTTACTGGTACATTTTTGTGAGAAAAAATCCGGTCATTTTTCAAGCGCAGAGATATTGTGTACAGACTGTTTAATCTTCATTCATACAAGTTTTTCTTGTTGATTAAAACTTTTCAAGCTCCAAAATATCTCTAACTCTATATTGGGTTCTTTTCTGTAAAACACTATTGTTTTTGGTACCATTGAGAATCCTGATTGAGAGTAGTTGTGAAAGTTTGGGTGGTATTTATTTAAGGATGTTTGCGCTAATTGTTTCTGCGCATCCTTACTGCGCACACAAATTAACACACAATGGCAAGCATGAGCACACACGCTAAGTAATACATGTAAAATGAACAATGATAGGGCAGATGGCCATTGCTATAGCTTTGCCTGGATTTAACAATCTTGGACGTTCAGTGACCCCTATGTTTCATTTGTTGGATCATTCATTTTTCTCTACCGACTTTCTACGTGTAGCGAAAAAATGAAGAAAATATATTGATTAGATGTTTGAATTTTTTGCACAATGCACCATCGAATTCCATTACTTTCAGCTCCTAATTTATGTGGGGTGGTTTCAAATGCCTCTTGAAGGGTTAAGTTTCGTGAAAATGTTGACAACATTTGGAATTATTCACGCAACAGACCCACTTCTACAAAATATGACTAAGATCGCTTGCCTCCATTGACTCACCTTCTATATTTTTTACTATAAACCCCTGTAGACCATGCTGAATTATGTGTGCCAAAAATCAGGGTAGTTTTCCACACGCTTTATCTCTGAAATAAAGTCGGTGACCCCCAATTTTTTTTTTGCATTTCTGACACAAGTACAGTACTGTGCAAAAAGAATGCAAACGAATTTTGTCGAAATTCAGCTATTGTTCCCATGAAATATCATAGAAATTTCGAGCGAAGAATCATGATTTATCAGGCGATGTTTCGAAGAAATTTCATTGAGTGATACAAAAATTCACTAATCTAAGAACGATTTTTCGATGAGATTTTGCCAGTAATTAAACGAAAAATCGCATCCTGAAATGATATTTCGTTGAGTGTCTATAAGCGTATGGTATTCATGAATGAATGGAATTGACAACTGTAAACACAGCACTTCAATTACCTTTAAAACAACTAAGCTGAGTGTCAACACAACCTGAACGAAACTATTCCAGAGAATTCGCAAAATATTTCATAAAATCTATAAGCTTGATGTTTATTCGATAGTTTGTCTATGAAGAGGTCAACAGTGTGATGCCCTTACCATTTCGATTGACAATAACGTTCGATCTAAGCTTACGTTTTCCTCTCTCGTCAAGTCCTTCAAATTTCCTTTGCCGTTTATCATTCACAAGCAACTCAACATATCGAGTCTCCTGTCGAGGTGTGGTGTTAACCTCCGCTTCCGTAAAATGAATGCCTAGCATGCGCCAGTAACATCAAGAAGTGCCTTCGAATTCCCTCACGCATTAGATTTCATTCCATTTTCTGCCATCCATATAAGGAAGGTAGGTCCCAGTCTTCAATGAGTTGAGTGTGTTTGTAACAGGCGAACAAAACGTAATGGGGTGAAACAAAAACTTTTCTTTTCCAGTTTAGACATCTTTAATTGTACACTAGTTCATGTATACAAGCTATTTAATTTAAAAGGGAGTTTTATATAGGCGATGAAAGGCAAGTGTAGTTTGATATGGAGGGCATGATTGCTCAGGAGTAACTGATGATCGATCTTTGAATGTATGGATATAAACAAGGGTTGCCATGTTTACATGACCGTTTGCATCACACTGTGAGCATGGAGATGAAGTCTCAGGAGAGTTAATGAACTAGGTAAGTTTGAATTTTTTAATAAAAAAAGGATGTTTATATCTGTTTTCGGACATTATTTATAGAGTGAATTTTCGTGCGGCTTTTCGCTACAGTGCGAACTCTTTCTCCTGAAAATTCCTTATTCTCAATGATATTTCACCTGAATATTCACATGGTCTTGCGAAAAACAGCCCTAATCATTTTGATTAAAACAATAGACCTTTCGAAAATTTCGTCAAACTTCGTACAAAAAGTCGTTTCACTCGAAATTTCTTTAAATTTCTTCGAAAAGCACCAAAAAGTCGCGAAAAGTACCGAATTTCGTTTGCATTCTTTTTGTACAGTACTGTAACTCATTATCTGACTGCAGTAAAAATTTAAAAATCTATTGAGTGGAAAATTTTTGCACAAACATCCTTAAGATTGATATTTCCTGTCAAGTGGCCCTAGAGCAGCTTTTATTATTTCTACTTAGAACAGGAAATTTGCTCATTTGTAATTTGTACACTACTCATATCAAGTGGTAACCTGGAGTGATACACTTCTTTTTAATGGTACACAATTTCAGCATAAGTAACACTTGACTTTTTACACAGTTTCAAGATGGGAAAGAACATGGATTTTTGTCTAGGTAATTTACTCTGGACACTTTTTTGATTATGTCAAGAGAACAATAGAATTACCTTCAACAGTAATGACAAATTGATTTGAATCTAAAAAAAGCATGTTGTGATTCGACATTGTAAGGAGGAGCCTGTCACGCCTACAACATGTAACATATTATACGTTGGTATGGCATGTATCAATCATGTGAAATCAGCTGTTGCTAAAAGCCCATGCTATGCTGACAAAATTTCTTTGACTCTGTCAAAGGTCAAAATTTTATCCGTCAAATTTTCAAGTTTGTCGTAGTGGTAACCTGCGGTACAACCAGACATGTCACAAAGTCCTTGATATACACCGGCAGTGTAGACTGTCTGTAAAACAGATTATAGTGATGGGCAGAATCAAAAACAGTACAATCTTTGTTTACCACAAAGTGTGAATCACATGGTGAGATCAAAGATTGAAGAGAGGTCAAAGCGAAATTAAATTTAAAAGATTGACAGTTTTTTTTTTTTCTGATAATGTTCTGTAAAT